CCTGGATAAAAGAAGTCCAAACTTAAGGTGTCAGCAGGACCAATCTCTCCAGAGGCTCTTGAGGAGATGCCACCCCTTGCCTCTGCCAGCTCCTGGTGTAGAGCATTTTTGCTGCTCTATGTCTCAGCCGACTTTAACTGCTCCGCAGTAATTAGGCTTACAGGAAGTCAAAATCAAAGCTAAAGGTAGAAATCTGGAAATGCTCACATAGTGCTTTAATTCTTATGAAAAAGACAGAGTTGGCATTCCTGTGACTGCACCGCCCCAATCTCTGCCTCCATCGTCACCCTCCCCTCCCCTCTCCTGTCTATCTTCTCCTCTCTGGCTCTGGGTCTCTCCTTTGTGTGTCTTTTGTCAGGACACTTATCATTGGACTTAATCACAACTGCAAAGAACCTTTTTCCAAATAAAGCCATATGCATGTGTTCCAGGGATTTGACATGGAGGAAGAAGGGAGGATAGAAACAGGAAAAGAGACAGAAGTGGGAAGAAAATTTAATGGATTGCTTGAGTTTAAATCAAAGAAAAAAAATATTGAGAGAGAAAATACATTTTCTAAATATTTTATTACATCCAATATGTGTAGTGATATTTATTTAAGTACACCCCTTGAAGTGGTTCCACTGCTTTGCCTTATATTGACATTAGTATTTTGTATTTCTACTCTGTCTTTTTCATAAGAGTTAAAGCACTATGCGAGAGTTTCCAAATTTCTACCCTTAACTTTGATTTTGACTTTCTGTAAAATTTTGACTTTCTAACCAGTGCAGAGCACTTGAAGTAGGGTGAGGTGTAGACAAGCAGAAAGCACAGCCAAATCTTAGTCCCAAACTGCCTACACACCCTTTCTCACATTCAGAGTTGGGGGATTTCAAGATCTGCATTCGCCTTCCCATCATCATAATGGAAAGCCCACTTTTCAGGCACTGTCTTGCTGGGCGTAACAGCCCTACCAGCCTAATGACCAGCCTTGACCATTCTCTACCCTGAACTCCTTCTAGCCTAAGAGCTTGTATCCTCCCCACTCAGCCACCACCATCAGCGCCACCCCTCTGCTCCCTCCTGCTTCAGATCAACTTCCCCAGTGAACCTCTCCTCATCACCTCCACCCCTTCCACGTCATCACTGAGAACGCCCTTTACCCTGGGATCCAATTCAGCTATTAAAGGCTCATTTCTCCATGGCTGCTCCCTGTTACAGATTTGCACCCATGTTTTCAGCTGGGTGTGGTGGTTATTCTTCTATGTCCTTTCATTGAGTGGATCCTCTCTTTTATTATAGTTTAGGTTCTATAAGATCAGGTTAGGTTCTATTAGGTTCTAGTTGTTATTTACTTCAGAACCAAAATGTGCATTCCACTGGAAGTCATGTAATACTGTGATTGCTCTGGCTGCCGGGGCACTTCTCAGCCCTGATGTGCCTCTAAACCACCTGATGGTTTTGGTAAAATGCCGGTTCCAGAGTAGAGCTTGAAATGCTGCATTTCTCCCAGGCTCCCAGGAACCAGGATCTCCTGGTCTACAGGGTTACCCTCAGCATACATAGCAAAGTCTTAGCACCCCAACAAGTTTCAAGGAGGGGCCCTACAAGTTAAGTGTATCCTAAAGAAAAGATCTAGCCCACAACCTTTTGGGGTAGATATTAGTGTTTTTACATACTTAGCATGAATAACAAGCCCCCTGCAATTGTGAGTCATCTCCTTTAACATTTGAGCCTCAGCTGCTGCTTGTGTCAGAGTTCTTTATACCAAAATGCCATTTGGCCATTTACAACAGAGACCTCCAGAACCCTTAAATCTAGTTTAGTATCTGGTGAGTAAATAAAATATTATTGCAGGCTCAGTTGTTTTAATAAAACCATACAGGGTTTATGCAGGCCCAGTTTTCTGACCTTCAGGGCAGAGAGTAAGGCATGTGATTTAAAAAAAAGCTCACTTAAGAAAAAATGTAATAAAGAAGTAAGTTAAGAGGAAATACAGTTTGGGGAAGAGACTTGAGGATTAGAAAAAGTGAATAATTCGTGCTTGCCTATGACACAATGCAATAAATCCCTCATAACAAATGGGTCCTTTGCTAATAAGGCTATTAATTAGTCAAAGACCAATTGACATGAATCTGACATGAGCAGATACAGCAAGATTTACTAGTGACTGATTTGGCTGTAATCCAGGCAAGAAGGGAGGGTTCACCAAAGGCACTGAGAGGCACCAGGAGAGACTTGGTCATGATCTAATAAAAAAGAGCGCAAGACCAACACTTGGCTCTCACTTCAGTCCCTGCCATGTCTTTTTCGAGCAGGCTAAGATGTCTGGACACCTGATATTCCTAACTACATTGTGGAAATGAAACTGAATGTGATGATTTGGGCAGAATGTTTTGTGGATGAGAAGTAGCATAAAGGACAGAATGGTAGAAGTGGAATGATCAAAAGTATATTGTAACACAGAATTTAATATCCCCAGTGATATTGATCTTTTTACCTATAAGCTGAGCAATACAGGTAGAATTTGGAGGAAAGACTAGCAGTGGCCTGCCTTTTGTGGAAGTGTCAGTCACAGGGTATTATGAAATTGACTTTGGGGAAGTTTCTAGAAATAACTGGTAGTGATAGTGCAAAAAAGTGAAATTAGATCACTAACTTATACCATACACAAAAATAAACTTGAAATGGATAATGGACTTAAACATAAGACAGAAAACCGTAAAAATCTTAGAAGAATTCACAGGCAGCAAAATATCAGACATACATTGCAGGATTCTTGTCCCAGCCTTAAAAAGGGTTCTGCAATCTAGAAAAAGGGGCTGATTCAGGAAGAAATCCAAAGATGAAAGATAATTTTGAAAGGCATTGGAGGTTAGAGGAGCTTCAGGTAAAGAAGCTGAATGACTACCCCTTGTCTAAGGACCCTGTGCTATTTATTTAACACAATTTGTCCTAAGGCAATGTGGAGACATACACTTCAAAGGGTAAAGTTTCAAAGGGTAGAATTTATAGAAGCACTGTCAATTTGGAGAATAGCCTACAGCTGTTCAGGTGTTTGGCCAAGGAGAGGCAATAAAACGCCCTGAGCTGTCTGGTAGCAAGCAATCAGATTTGGGGGAAATGCCTTTCCAGCCATTCCAACAGGTAATTACATATGTGGCTCAGTCTGTGTTGAGCCCACCAAGTCCCATCAACTTTTGATGGAACTCTTGTAATTATGACATGCTAGAATTGGCTTCTGTCAATACGTTGTAGTAATATCTTTACTGATACAGCTCCTAGGACAATGGAAACTAAAAAGAAAATAAACAAATGAGACTACATTAAAATAAAAAGTTTCTGCACAGCAAAATAAACCAACAAGAAAGCCCACTGAATGGGAAGACATATTTCCCAATATTATAAATGATAAGGGTCTAATCCCCAAAATTTATAGGGAACTCATACATCTTAACAAAAGTATGATAAACAACTCAATTAAAAAATGGGCAAAGGATCTAAATAGATACTTTCCAAAAGTGGACATAAAAAAGGCCAAGAGATGCATGAAAACATGCTCAAAGTCACTAATCATCCAAGAGACGCAAATCAAAACGACAATGAGGTACCATCTCACACCTGTCAGAATGGCTATCATCAACAAATCAACAAATGACAAGTGCTATGGAGAATGTGAACAAAAAGGAACTCTTGTGCACTGCTGGTGGGAATGCAGTCTAGTGCAGCCACTGTGGATGACAGGATGGAGATTTCTCAAAAAATTAAAAATGGAACTCCCATTTGACCCAGTAATACCACTTCTAGGAAGATACCCCAAGAAATCAGAAACACCAATCACAAAACCGTGGTACATCTGCACAATGGAATACTATGCTGCTGTAAAAAGGAAAGAACTCTTAGCATTTGCAACAGCATAGATGGACCTGGAGAGCATTATGCTAAGCAAAATAAGCCAGTCAGAGAAAGATAAATTTCACATGATCTCACTCATTTGTAGGATATAATGAACAACATAAGCTGATGAACAAAAATAGATCCAGAGACAAGAGAATCATTGATTAGAACATCAAACTTCAGAGAGAAGACAGGGAAAGGTTGGGGGAAGATGGGGAAAGGTGACGGTAAGAGATCAACTAAGGGACTAGAATGCATGCATACAAGCATAATCAAAGGACACAGACACTAGGAGGGTGAGGGCATGTGCTGGGTGGTGAGAGTGCCAGGGAGAGGTCAATGGGGGGGGAGAGACATATGTAATACTTTAAACAATAAAGAATTAAAGGGAAAAATATCATTGGAGCTTATTAGAGCTATACATTCCTGGCCCCTAAGTTGACATACTAAATCAGAATCTAAGGGCTTTGGGTCCCTAAGTCCCTATTCTTAGAATAAGCGCCTAACTCGATTGTGATATAAGACTTTTCTAAACTTAGTCTCTAAAGGGTGATGTGGGATTCACAATACCTTGAGTCAGGTTTACCAGTATTGTATAGACACAGTGTGATTTCTTTTTAAAGTGCAGAACAAAGAAGCTCTATAACTTGTGGTGGCTGTTGTTATTCTGGAGCCACTGGTGCCACTGCCTTGCTAAGGCTGCTCGCTATGCTAAAACATCTATGGAATCTTCAACCAGCCTGGCTGGGATCCCAAAATTGCAAGTTGTTTCTGAGTTTTTGTTCAAGCCTCTTCTGATCCTTTTTTACTCAGAATTTTAATGACACTGGTGTAAGGCCCCCTTCAGGCTGGGGAATTTCTGTTGAGGGTGAAAACATCAATTATATTGTAACAGGTTGGGGGCTCCACTGAGAGTCAAGGACTGTGGGATGGACACCCCCCCCCCTCCCCCGAGGAAGGTCATTTGTTTCTGGCCCAAGAGAGGCGCTTTCACTCCAGGGCTCCCAGCTTAGCTGCCTTCTCTGGGTGGTGCCTCCTGCTTTCCTTTGCTCTGTGAGGCTGGGGGAAAGGGAGAGGGGGAGGCTGGCGTCTGTCTGGGAGCTCCAGAGAGAGCAGTGAAGGTAGCTGCTGAACCAGCAGGCTCCCATTGCTGGGGCTGAGGTTTACTGAGGGGTGGGGTTGCCAGGGGGGGATGTGCACACGAGGCGCAGGTAGGACCGAGGAGTACCTTCCGGAAACCCTCCCCCAGCCTTGGGGTAAGGATTGGATCGGGCAGCGAGGTCAGCGAGGTCAAGACCCTTTCCGTGCCTTCCCCTGACCCGGCCCGCCCTGGTCGCTGTAGACACGAGGGTGCAGCGCGGGGCGGGGGCATGCTGGCCCGGCACAGGGTGCAAGAGGCAGCTCGCGGCGACCGGAGCAGCGCCGGGCCCGGGCCGGCCGGGGGCCGGATGGATGGCGGATCCCACGCGCGCCGCGGAGCCCGGGAGGTTTGCGTTCCGCTCGCCGCGCTGCAGGGAGGGCGCGGTGCCAGGCGCCAGCGCCCAGAGACCCAAAAAGAAAGCTTTTTATTTGCTGAGGATGAAGCCCCTGAAGGAGCCCGCCCCCAACAACAGCAACAACGTGTCCTTCGTGATCCATTGTCAACTAGGCAAGGAGATCAAACACATTTGCAGCAACTGCAGCCGCGGGGAAGACACGCGGGACGGTGAGTGCCTGGGCCAGTCGGGGCGGCGGCGGGCGAGCGCGGGAGGCGGGCGGGGAGGTGGCTCCGCTGGTCCCCAGTTCGGGGCTCCAGGAGCTTCGCTGCCTGGAGAACCGCGGGGACTTGAGCCCTCTCCCCAGGCGTGACACCCGCCTGCCCAGGCACTTTGCAGAGTGATGACAGGAGCAGCCAAACCCGGACTGCATCCCCCAAAGGAGGCATTTGAAATGGGGGTTTGAAACGGGGTAATCTGGGGTTTTTCTCTTGGAAAACCTGGGGTTTAGGTTATTTGTTAAGGGCAACATTTTTTTAGCTTTGAAAAGGCTCCTGCACCTGCTTTCTTGGCTCTCTGGGCTTCTTAGTTAGTCTCACATCTTTGCGTTAAGATAGGATACAGCCTTTGCTCCAGATGGGCTGTGTTACAGATGTGCCTTCACTTTGGAGAGGGGGTTTGGCCTTGGCAACAGCGCCCAGCGCCCAGCGCCCCGGGGACTTGTGGAGTTGTTGAATGGTGCCTGTTTGGAGCAAAACATGGCCGTGGTGATTTTTGGAGTGCCGCTGGCCCCTCTTGGAATGATGCCTAATGTTCAGAATGTGGGAGTCGGGGGAGGGGCGTGCAGCGGCTTCTTTGGAGCGGACGTGTGTGCAAGCCAGAGAGCTCCCCACAATGCTGTCTGAAGCGGGGAGGAGGGAGGGTGCCGGCTGGCAGCCACTGAGGCAGAAGGAGCCAAGAAGGAGGGTCAGCACCGCGCCCAGCAGGCAGAAGCCTCCGCAGCTGTGGGCGCGCCTAGGTGGCAGTGCATTTCGAAGGAGCCTCCAGTCGGTTCCCAAGCACCTCCAGGAGCAGACTCCAGAGGGCCACGTAAGGTCTCAGAAAAGTTTTAGGCAGCAGATGTTGCAGGGGAAGAATGAGCTACTGGCCAACCTGAAGCTCAGTGCCTCGCTGGACACTCGCACCTGCTTGGACAGACAGAAATTTCCTATCAACCAGCGGGTCCTCTTGCTCCGTTTGGAAGAGCAAATACTACTTAGGATCCCTCGTGTTCATTGTTGGACTCTGAAGTGCAGAGTGAATGAAGCGACGGTGGCTTGGCTAATCATCTTTTCAAAATTAGCATCCTGCTAGTGTAATTATTCTTTTCTTTGATTACACTGCCGGAGAGGCTGTGCATCACGGCACTGGGCATCCAAGAGGAAGACTGGGGGCCCTGCTGGAGGAAGGCAGGAGCGCACAAAACACCCTAATGCTGACTCTGTTAGGTTTAGGGGAGGGTATTTTGAGAAGCACACACTGCCTGTGTTCGGTCCTTTGGTTGCGATATAAGGTAATGACACCTATGGAATATAAATGGGTGAACGAGGTGATTCAAAGCCAGACTTTTACCATATACTGTAATGGAATAGAGCAGGAGCTGCAGGCTGGAATATGTATTGAATGAATCCCTCTGCTTTCTGAGTTGCTTCTCAAATAGGCTGCTTTCACAACCTTGGGATTTTATTTAAGTTAGAGTTTCTAAATGTTGCTACCATAAGGAAGGGTCTCTGTCTATGCTCAAGGACGTGTGTTGACAATGTGGTGAACATGCCAGTATTCACTGCTCATGGAGACAGGCGTGTTCTAGCCTATAGCACACATTCCTTCTTGCGTCCTCTCTACGGTCTCAGACACTCCAGAGCATACCTATGGATGTTCACATATCATCTGATATGACTCAACTATTTAATTTCAAAGAATTCTTAGGTGAGAGACCTCACATTGTAGAACTTAATGTTTTGCATAATTACACGCTGGGAACCCTGCCTTCCTAATGGGTGGTAGTCACTGAAATAGAATGAGGTCAGGAGTTTAACCCTTCTGTTTTTACTGCCAGAGCCCAGAGCAGCACCGCCCCTTGAAAAAGGAAAGGGAATTCAAATAAATGCCAGGATTGACCTTGTATGATTTTTTTTTTTTTTTTTTTTTTGTCATGAGTGGATGTTCTGTTAGATAAGTTCTCTAGAAGCTTTTTTCTTTTTTTCTTTTTTTTTTAAGATACTTTTATTCCAAGCTCCTGTTAGCAACAGTTGTTTATGCAACATTATAAAAACTCATTTATTTTATTTACTGGTATGTAACAACAATAAGTAACAGTTAGTTGCTTTTCATTTTTATTTCATTTATTGCACAGATCAATCCTATGAATGAGGCAATCTTTTAATGTCCATCTTACAGAGGAGTAAACGGAGGCTCAGAGAGACTTCATTCATACGTTATATGTGTAGTAAATGAGAAGGCGGGCTATAACTTCACATTTGCCTGGCTTCTACATCATACTATTTTACAGTATACAACAAATTGTGACCATTTCTCTTTAAGTTATAAAAATGTTTAAAAATCTTTTCTTTGGGTCTCATCTCCAACACCCCACTTCCTTCCCCATATTTCATTTCTTCTTCAAAAATAAACCAAACATACACTGTAGACACTATTTTCAATCTGGGTCTTCTGTTCTGTATGTCAGGAGATCCCTCTATTGTAAAGGGAATGTGCGGTCAAGAGTATAGTAATGCAAGCAGGCTCGGTGGGCCCCATAGAGGAGGACTGTATGTTTCTCGTGGTGGGCAGACCTACATTGTGTCCAGCACCATCAATATGTTTGGCTCCTCATTTAGCACCAAAGAGGCATTGAGTGGTAACCAGTGAAAATTCTGATCTATACGAAACCGGTTTGGCTCAGTGGATAGAGCGTTGGCCTGCAGACTGAAAGGTCCCAGGTTCAATTCCGGTCAGGGGCATGTACCTTGGTTTCGGGCACATCCCCAGTAGGGGGTGTGCAAGAGGCAGCTGATAGATGTTTCTCCATCATCGATGTTTCTAACTCTCTATCCCTTTCTCTTCCTCTCTGTAAAAAAATCAATAAAATATATATATTTTTTTAAATTTCTGATCTAGCAGCAAAGACCTCACTTGAAATTTTACATAACTAAAACTTTTCAGAGTTTCTCTTGTTCTTAATTTCTTTGTATATAAAAATGGACATTATTTTGAACATACTTAAAATATAGTTTACTAACTTTCAGTTTAAAGACAATCTAGAATTTAAAATATTTGGCTGATATGGAATAAACATTAAAAGAAAAACTATTCCTGGATGGTTGAGTGAATATAAAAGGTGAAATGAAATTTTTGCAATTGCTGTTCTATGTAGAAGTATTATTTTTAAGTTTTTGATATCTACTAAATAATATTAAAGATGCTTTTCTAGCCGTATTTTAGGTATTTTTTAAGCTGTAGAATATAGTTTACAATTAATAGCCAAAGATGGTTTGCATTTATTTTAGCTTTATGGATTTGTTTTAATATTGAAGCCACTTTCAGATGAGAAAGCAAGCTTACATAGCACTTCAACAGTAAAGGCTACAGAGCAAGCACAGGGTAAAACAAAGATTCACATCCTTGTTTGCCTGTCTTTCAAAGTGAGGGGCTTTCAACCGGGCTATCTAGTTGTGTGTGTGTGTGTGTGTGTGTGTGTGTGTGTGTTTTTTGTGTTTTTTTTAAATGACACATACACTAAATGTAGAAAATCAGGTAGTGTGATGTGTATGTGTTCTATACATCTGTAGGTTTGATAAGCCAGTTTTATTAGATACATAGTTAGAATGAATTGCAGAATTTCCTAGTACGCTTAATTATTTTTATCTGCTTTATCTAAAAATAAAGAGCTAACATTGGTAGGAGTAGAGGGAGAGACGTTTTTAATTAAGTACATTAGAAGTTATGTACATTGTAAAGCCAAAAGTAGCTAAATAATCACTAAACATGTTGGAAGTTAATAGAGAATATGACTGTAGTGGAATAGAGCATGAGATACAGGCTGGAATATTAATTAAATGAATCCCTCTGCTTTCTGAATTGCTTCTCAAATAGGCTGCTTTCACAACCTTGGGATTTTATTTAAGTTAGAGTTTAATTTACAAATAGTTAAAAATCAAATTTTTTGAGAAATCTATTCTAGAAAGCCAGGTAGCATATATAATAAAGGGCTAGTATGCAAATCAATTGAACTGTGGAAAGACCATTTGCTATGATGCACACTGACCACCAGGGGCCCAGCTGTCAGTTGGATATCCACTGAGGGCTCCCAGACTGCTAGAGGGCACAGGCTGGGCTGAGGGACACCCCCCACAAGTGCATAAATTTTGTGCACCTGTCCTCTAGTTTCTGTATATAATTTCATACACATTTTCTATTATAATTTGAAATCCTTTTGAGTTTATTCATGGTGAGAAATTGTCATAGGCATTATACCATCATTAATAATTACATTTTAAGATGTAATTTCAAAATAAGAAAAATATTTTAACAGTTTTCAAACAGCTTTTAGAAATATTTTGAAGCCTCTGCCTTATAGAAGTATACTTAAAAAGTAGTAATTAAATCATAAATAAATTCAGAAACAAGACATTTATTGCAGCTACTATTCAGTGCTCTTTTAAAAATATATTTTTATTGATTTCAAAGAGGAAGGGAGAGGGAGAAAGAGATAGAAACATCAATAATGAGAATAATTGATTGTCTGCCTCCTGCACATGCCCTACTAGGGATTGAGCCTGCAACCCAGGCATATGTCCTGACCAGGAATACCATAGTAGAACTGTGACCTGATTCATAGGTCAATACTCAAATTCCCAACCACTGAGCCATGCAGGCTTGGCCTCAGTGCTGCTTTACATATAATTTATCAATATTTCAGGGTAGTCTTTATTTCACTTATGATTTCTAGCTTTAAATATTTGTATACAAATGTATTAATTTATTGACCCACTAGATGCATTTCAAAATTTTGTTTTAGGGATAAATATTTAAGAAGTTTTCTAATGTATTCCAATATGAATTTTTGGAATGACAATTTATCATAATAGTTCTCTGTTACTCTGACTGTAGGGTTCCTCAACAAGACAGCCTTTTAGAAGAGAATGCCTTATGAGTTTTTGTGAGCGAGAACCCTCATTTTGCAGATGAA